ATTCGAGTACCTCCCACTTAAATTCACAATCTGACAACGATGATCTAGATAACTCTCAAAGAGTTTTATAGTTTGTTCCGAAAGTCCTGAAAATTTCAGAATTGACGGAAGGGTTTCATGATGCAATGTATAGAACGCTTTTGAAAAATCCAACAGCACAAGCCCCTGAGCGAAAACCAGATTGACGCGTCGGTAAAACATTAAAGTTTTCAAGGTGCTCAAACAGCTGTCCCGCAATAAATTTTTCGAAGATTTTAGATAAAATACCGATAGGCCTAAGGTCCTTAAGATATAAAGAATTAGCTAGTTTAGGCACTAGAGTAACAAGAGCTACCTTCCATGCATCAGGGAATATCGAGGTTTCCAAACAATAATTAATTATATGACATATATATGATAATATCATTGGGCAACAGAGAATAACATTTTGATACTAATACCATCATGACATACAGCAATACTTTTAATCGACTGCAGCAAATCAAAGACCTCCGACTCAGATATATACGCAAAACTTAGTTGCTTTACGACAGATGGTAGAGTTTGACTCTCAAAGTAATTTATCATATCGGCATCACACAGCGATTCAACTTGCGTTGAAAGAAAATATTCCTTTATAACATTCTCATTACCAAGACCATCAGGTATTGATCGCTGCTTCAAACTAATTATTCCCATATTTCGAAAACTTTTCCAAAGATTACGACTATTACCCCTACTAGCCACCTGAGCAAGACATGCCTTCTTTTCCCTTTGAATGCTAACATTAGTGAAGTTACAAAGCTTTTTGTACTTACTAAAATGACTGGAATTATTGGTTTTTTTAAATTTTAATTAAGCCTTATCCCGAAGCGTCATCATTAATTGTTAAAAACTACTGTGTATGTAAACTTTTGTCCAATGCTGTATGTAGATTTTTGTCCACCACTGTATAATACAAAGTAACTTTCTTTACCGCTTAAAACTACGCGAATATTGATTAAACTGTTTCAGAGGAAAACCCCACATGTATAGATAATCTCAATTATCGCAAAACGACAATCAATATTTACTTTTAGCAATCGTTTGCGTTCCAATTTCCTCCAATCCACCTTTCAACCTTTCGGTTAGCGTTGTTAGAGTTCCCAGACGTTAAGATTTTTAATTATAGATAAAAACAATACAATTGTTTGTGTATTTTTCTTGTATACGGTTTTAAAAGTAGTTTAAACGAAACTTTTCTAGCATAAAAAAAATTATCTCAAAACTTGACTTAAATATTATTAACTTTAACTGTCTTATAAAGGTTTAAATTGGAATTTCGCAAAACCACAAAGCTTATCGCGTATTTTTTCTTCCTCTTTGAATTAATCGGAATATCACTAAAAAGAAATATTTTAATTAATTTTTGTTATATTTTTCAAATTAGTTGTCAATGTCAGAATTTTATAAAAAAAAACCAGCTGTATTATCCAATATGTTATGTTTTATGACCGTGCTGTATAACATTTTACAACCAAATAATAAGTGAGGTTATGTTCGTTTTAGTTGAACTGTCACTTTAAAAACTAGCGTTTCTAACCTTGTATGTAATTAACATAATATATTAATGTAATTAACAAAATATCAAAACTATAATAAATGGAGTTTCAAATATCATGTAACGTAGCCCTTAACTAGAAAACATATCAGTATTGGTTGACGCTTTATTCCCAGACCACCCTATGTTAAGTGCAACAACCGTAATGGACCATGCCAGTGTGAACGGTATTCCCTTATTCACAAAAGATATCAGAAGTTGATATCCGTAGTGAAAGCTGTGAAAAGAAGAAAACCAAGTTCTGAAGACTTCAAGGTTTCTTCAAGGTAATTGTAGCCTTAGCTGTAGTCTTACTGAACATGTTTAATATCTGTCTAAGAGAAGGTGTCTTCTGCGAAAGATAGAAGATTAAAAGATTACGCGCTATCTCATTTAGATTCCTCTACTTGCTAGACTCAGCAGAGAAATTCTTCTAGAAGCCGCTGTGGCCAAACAATGCTATAAAAGCTATACGAGGGTGAACACCTATGCTCAGACCCAACTTATAAACACTTACTTTAGATCCATTGTTGTCTAGGTCACTCTAGACATATGCAATGCATTTAACTCTGACAGCCCTGAAAAATGACTTTCCTACCCCAGATCAATCATGAGGATCACAAAAACTATCACAATAATCGAAGACCCCTAAACCAAACGAATGACATGTGTAGTCGCGTAGGGATTTGCTCTGGATACAGAACTCTAGAACGTCTTTTATGACAGAGTGCTCCGTTTAGAAATATCTGAAAACGTTTTCCTCGTTTCGCTGGCTATTGCTTTCTCAATTGCTAACACCCGAATTACCAACTGAACATCTCTAAAGTACCTGCGAATAACACTGGACAATAGACTCACCCTCCGGAAACACCCTCCAAGGGTCTGCAACACAGCGAGAAGGGTTACTGCAATGTTAAGCTGAATAATGGTAAATTGTGGAGGGCCAACTGCTTCTAAACGAAGACTCTGGATAGACGTGGGCAGCTCTATTATGCTGTATGGGTATGAGGTACGGTTTGATAAGCTGACGAGCGATATTCGAAGATGATTTATTACTTAGAGAAGAAGCGCCCTTAGAAGTACTACCGCTTTCAAAACCGTGTCTGGTCCAGTAGTGCATATTGTCGCCGTTGTGCCCCCGGTCGATTTAACGGCCACGAAGAGAAAAAGAATCTATGATACTAAGGCAACAGACTGAATTACGAGATTGCTAAACAGACTGAAGCTTGCAAACAGGCCAGACAGAATAGTCACTTATGCTGCCTAGTAGGCAATAGGGCTTATCTCGAATGTGATGAGTGATGACTGACGGTTAATTTCTACTCCATTTAGTTCCTAACACAACAAGGATACCGCCAGAAATATTTATGGAAGATAGGAAAAGTGAACAGCCTCGCGTCACTTTACAAGGATGTTGAATATGATCATGCTGAGTACACTATGTTCAAGTGCTGCTGGTGGAAAGCGGATCGAGACATGTGAAATCGGCAACATAATGCCTGATACCATTGCTGGCCGTATATTAACAGTATGGTTAATAAAGAATAGCTAAAAACTGTAAACTTGTAGAAGGAGATCCTTATATTTTAGTTTTTCTTTTAATGTTTTTTGACGATCCAATAGGGACAAAAGGTTTAGGTGGTTGAAGATGGGAAAAGCAAAGGGTTATAGCTAATTTCTCCAATCCGTCATTGCACAACCCCTCTTATAGATATAACACAATTTTTTGTTAAGAGCGGTAAGACTCGGCCTTAAATTTTATAGGCTGTGCAATGACGAATTGGAGAAATTCCTTATCTAGAAGAACGATTTGGGTATATTGACGCTGCCTAGCCAAGATGGCATAAACGCCAAAGTGGTAACTTTTTACTTATCAGTATTTTCAAATCTGCGTCCAACAGTTAAAGCGACATAATTCGATATAACATTTTTTTTTGTTTCCTGAAAAGTTAAGTAAATATCGTTTATGTCGTTTTTTTCTAGCTTTGTCATTGTACCCTCTCATTATTAGCACAATAATTCGTTCTTTTTAATTAAGAACCATCAGATCGTAGAGAAATGATATACTTTGCTGAGCTTTTCAAAACACATAAACTTACTGAAACGTGTTAATGTCAAAATCTAAATACGCCAAATGTCAAATATTGCAAACATATTGAAGAGTAGGTTCCCATAATGAAATATATACAGAGTGTTGCATTTAAAACTCCAAAATGACTCTTATTATTAGAGAAACGGTAAATTTAGCAACATAGCGAATGTTATTTTAGAGGGAATTAGACGATTTTAGACTTTTGTTCCACTCTGTATAATAAATAATTTAATTTTTTAATAAATACTATACAGGGTGATTCACATAAGAACCGACACAGAACAGGGACATGTAGAGGACAATAAATTAAGACGATTTAACACAACTTATCTCTATACTAAGTTGTACTCCTGAGGAGTTATAGGCCTTCAAAGTTGGGTCTTAAATTTTTAAAACATTGAATATCTTCGTAATACATTAAGTTAGAAAAACCAAATTTGGTATACGTTATGAGTGTACCGAGGGTATTAATTGGTTGAGCAAGTTGTTAAGCAAGTTGAGACCAATTGAGGCATTTGAAAGGGTTGATTACGGGTGCTGGTCCCCTAAATTTTGACAGATTTTTTTAACCTTTTGGTGGATTTACCAGATTATTACCTGATTTCATGTGGAATTTAATTCTAGAACTTTTTCTACTCTTATTATTTTTTAAAAAACATTGTCGTTTTCATAAAAAACTCAAATAACTAAAGAATTTCGTTAATGCTACTTAAAATCATCAAAAATTCAGTAGTCGGCTGTGAAATTGTACGTCAAACTTGACAAATAGGTTATAAAACCTTATAAAGTTATTTGACGACAAGGTTTTATAACCTATTTGTCAAGTTTGACGTACAATTTCATAGCTGACTACTGAATTTTCGCTTATTTTAAGCAACATTACGAAATACGTGGGTTTAATTATTTAAGTTTTCTATGAAAACGACAAAGTTTTTTAAAAAATAATAAGAGTAAGAAAAGTTTTAGAATTAAATTCCACATAAAATGAAGTAGTTAGGGTACCATCACCTTTAACCCTTTCGTTACTAAGAGCGTACGCATACGTTTTTGTATATGTGGGCTAAATGTATTACGAAGATATTGAACTTTTTAAAAATTTAAGAGCCATCTTTGAAGACCTATAACTCCTCAGGTGTACAACTTAATATAGAGGTAAGTTACGTTAAATCATCTTAATTTATTGTCCTCTACATGTCCCTGCTTTGTGTCGGTTCTTATGTGAATCACCCTGTATATTTATACGGTATATTAATACTTATATTCGTAATTATTTAACTGTAAAAACACGTGTTGTTTATTGGTTATTTAAATTGATATCGCCTGTTTAAATACAAAGTTAAAATTACTTACTCGAAGCTTTCCCCTTGAAAATTATCCGAAATATGTTCACCTGAACAGGATAGCTGAAAATTATCCTGCGCGATCGATTGTGGCACATTCATTACTGGATCTGGATGGCTTCCTCAAACCCCTGATAAGTGACACTTGCCGCTTTTATTGATTTTCCCTTATTTTTAGATGTTTGCTTTCATCCTTCAAGGACTTGTTTAGGTGCGATTCAATCAAATTATTTTTTATAACATTTCTTTTTCTTTACATTATTATTTCTAATATTATAGTTTATATTTATTTATTTTTAATACGTATTAGCTAAGTAGATAAGATTTTATTTTATCATTTTATCTATTTAAAATAAACAAATTTAGTTTGCGATTAATGCATTAATTTATTTTCTAATTAATTTATTAAGAATAAAAATAATCGCAATGATTGAGCAAATCTAAAAAAAACTGATTCATAATTCGAATCCATTGAAAACAGTAACACGATTACACATTATAAGCAAATATACACTTAAAACTGTCGTGATAATTAATTTCCTCGCGATTACGAGAGGATCACCCCATTTACGTTATCGGGATTCTCGGACTTACGCTCTTTGAACCATAAATACATCATTTAAAAAGTTAATCTCGGTCATTTTGATTTTCGGTGTAGGTCAAATTATTTTTATTTTAATTAGGTACCTTTTTATTATATAACTTTGTCTTTAATCGAACAAGTTTTATTAACTCAATTATATTTTTTAAAGGAGTTGGGAAGGTGACAAGTACGCACATGTTATGAATAATAACCAGAAATCCGTATTTACAAAGAAAGTGTTTATAGTAAATGTAAATAAACCTTCGCGAATCGCGCAATTTATTTTTTTGTATATAAATGAACGACAAATAAACACTAGCAAATCCTAAAAAAAAAATTTAAATCAATACATTATACCCATCCTTTTTCTTGATCAATCCATTTGCATTGAAATGAGATGCAAATGATTTCTTTTTATTTTTAAACACTTAATAGCTGCGATTAAAATTTTATCAAATAACAAATTTTTACTCTTGGTTGAAATCGAAACGACGTTATATGTACATATTATTATCGTGTTATGTGATATTACCTAATATAACATGTAGAGGACATCGATATACACATCGAAAAATGGCGTGATCCTCGACGCTATCTTTATTTTAGAAACCGTGGCACGAGATGAGGGAATGCGCCGAGAGAGCAAAAAAAAACTATAGGAGGAACGAGTATCAAGGTCAGAAAACGGGGAGCGTTTTGAGTTGATTGTATCTGTGTCGTGTTAGACCAGAAAATAGTGTTATTTCCTTTTTTATACGTCAAATTACCGGAACTCGTCAAGTTCAACTCTCACATTTTATAACATTTATGTAATAGGAAACTTTCATCGAATCAATTAGAAGATTTTAAGTGTAAACGATAACGATGCAATTTAATGAATCCAAAATTTAACAAATTCAAAAAAATCATTCGTTTACATAATAAAAGAAAAGATTACGTCTTTCCTCATTTTATTAAATTGATTAAAATTAAATTTTTACCCTACATTTACCTAAATAAGTAGTTATAGTTAATTTGTGTATCATGTTGAAAAAAAAATTACAGATTGTTTTTGTTGCCGTGATTTTCATGGTTATGTTGTTATTGGAAAATAGCGATAAATTGGTGGCAATTTTATGCATGATATCGAAATTAACGTCAAATAACAAGAAACGTAAAAGTATTTTTATTAAATTAAAACAGGAATAACGTTAAATCCCATAGTTTGAAAAAGCCAAGGATTGTATTGTAATATTGTTAAAAGGAATAGGTTTGTATATCTTAGGTTCTGTGCATTTATAGTAAAAGGGACCCTTCTGGCAGTTTATATTTCCAAAAAATGCCAAAATAAGGATTTTAACTTCTGGAAAATGATAATTTTCACAGATGAGAGAAAAACAAGAGGCAGGAGTCTGAAATCTTCATTTTATAACTGCAATATTAACTGTCTAAGGGTGTATAAACATTTTGAAAAACAAAATTGAGCAATGTGCAGAAAAATTGTGATGTTTATGAGATTTTATCTTTTAAGTTTTGAATCGGTGGCGATTTTTCAAAACGGTTTATTGCATTAAAAAGAGGATATTTTAATTAATAATTGGGAATATTTCCACAAGGATCCTTCAAGAAATGAATTTTATAGCGAATTTTGAAAGTTATCGATGAAAATTGCAAAATCGAAAATTTTATCAAAACTTCAAATATTGTTTTCTCGAAAACTAAAAGTTATTTTTCAAAACGTATTGGTTCATCGGAAAGAGGACAGTCTTATTAACACTTTGGGAAATTTTCATACTCATATTGCAAGATATGGATTTTATACGAATTTTTAAAACTTAATCGGTGTAAAATTGCAAAATTCGAAAAAATTGTTGATGACTTCAAAAACTTATTTCTGAAAAACTAAAAGAGATTTTTCAAAACGGCTTGTAGCATTAGAAAGAGGACACTTTAATTAATAATGGGTGATATTTCCACAAGGATCCTTCAAGTAATGAATTTTATAGCGAATTTTGAAAGTTATCAATGAAAATTGCAACATCGAAAATTTTATCAAAACTTCAAATATTGTTTTCTCAAAAACTAAAAGCTATTTTTCAAAACGGGTTGGTTCATTGGAAAGAAGACACTTTTATTAACACTTTGGGAAATTTTCATGGTTATATTCCAAGAAATGGATTTTATACGAATTTTTAAAACTTAATCGGCGTAAAATTACAAAATTCGAAAGAATCCCGATCATTTCAAAAATTTTTTTTTCAATTACCAAAAGTGATTTCTCAAAACGGCTTTTTGCATTAAAAAGAGGATACTTTAATCAATAATTGGTGATATTTCCACAAGAATCCTTCAAGAAATTAATTTTATAGCGAATTTTGAAAATTATCGATGAAAATTGCAACATCGAAAATTTTATTAAAACTTCAAATATTATTTTCTCAAAATCTAAAGTTATTTTTCAAAACGTGTTGGTTCATTGGAAAGAGGACACTCTTATTAACACTTTGGGAAATTTTCATGCTCATATTCCAAGAAATGGATTTTATACGAATTTTTAAAACTTAATCGGCGAAAATTGCAAAATTCGAAAAAATTGTCGATTATTTCAAAAATTTATTTCTCAAGAACTAAAAGTGATTTTTCAAAACGGCTTTTTGCATTAAAAAGAGGATACTTTAATTAATAATTGGTGATATTTCCACAAGGATCCTTCAAGAAATTAATTTTATAGCGAATTTTGAAAATTATCGATGAAAATTGCAACATCGACAATTTTATCAAAACTTCAAATATTGTTTTCTCAAAAACTAAAAGTTATTTTTCAAAACGGGTTGGTTCATTGGAAAGAAGACACTTCTATTAGCACTTTGGGAAATTTTCATACTCATATTTCAAGAAATGGATTTTATACGAATTTTTAAAACTTAATCAGCGAAAATTACAAAATTTGAAAAAATTGTCGATCATTTCAAAATTTATTTCTCAAGAACTGAAAGTGATTTTTCAAGACGGTTTTTTGCATTAAAAAGAGGATACTTTAATTAATAATCGAAAGTGATAACAGCGACAGTTTCTGTTAGTAATGAATGTGATGATGAATTATAAGCGAAGAAAAAAAAGTCCTATTGGGGTTGAATTTGACTATTATCTGCAGTGTCCAATACCTAAAAGAGATACTAATTCCTGTGAAGTACTAAGTAATAGGTTTTTAATATCTGCTTTTACTCTTCTAACAATAAATCATCAAAAATATTTGAAATTTCTACTATCATTCTTGAGTGATTAGAGATTTTCTAATATTTCGGAGGATGTTCGAATACTGAGTTTGTATACTGTATATATTATAACGTAACTTAATAATTCTCTAATTTAAACAATTTTTGTAAACTTTATTGATAATTTCTGTAATTGCATTAATTTTTAATTGCTTACTGGTTGACGTTAGACGTGAAATTTATTCGAATGACGTGGAACACAAAACGTAAAAAATTATCACAAATTGTTCTTATATACATATGTATTAATCATTGTTTTATACTTAACCTTTTGCCATTGCTCATATTAATGCGCGTGGATAATTTTAAAGATCTCCAAAAAGAAGTTATCAACGAAAAAAGGTTAAGATTTATGACTTATGACAGTTCTAAACTGTCATGTCAAATGTCAATATTTTAACGTAATGTCATTATCGACGTTCGTACAAATGAACCAATTTCGAATTTCCTAAATAGAAATTTGGATTCTTAACAATTAAAATTTTAATAAAAATGTAGTCCACAAATTTGCAAATATTTTTGAATCTCAACTTATCTATTATAAGAATAATACTTTAGTATACTATTTTTTCTCACTACCTGTCAAATTGTTGTAAAGTTAGTAGCTGTTGATAAGATTAACAGGGAATTTTATTATATGTTTTGAAATATCGTTATGTCAAATTGACGTTTGAACTTTTGATACTCAAAAAGATTTAATTCAATTTTCGGTTTTATAATTACACTTAAATAATTGAAATTGGACACCTAATTGATTAGTTTTATTAGATTGTAAGAATCGTTTTTAAAAGTATATGTATGTATGTATGTATTCGATTCTTAACCTCAATTATCTAGTTACCGAAAATGTTAGTAGAAATCAAAAAACGACACAAATTTAATAGAAACAATGATAACAATGATCAGTTACGACCTCGCTAACCTGGTTACGACAAACTTTTTAAAATTCGTCCTTTGCTAAGTAAAGTAAGAGATCTATGTACAAATATGCTTAACTTTAAAGCAATACAATCCAATAAGGTAACCGTTTTGAGTGCTATATCTGGTTTCAGTTACGTTATTTTTTTGTAGTAATCCATTTTCAAAGATATCATTAAACTTAAAATCAATTAAGTCATTTCTTTTCGTTTTCGTTTAACTCACGATAAATTCTTATCTCATAATTTTGTAACAATTTGTTATGGTGATAACATTTTCCCAATCGTAAACTCCAAGATGATCCGACTTTCGTTTCGTCACAAATCCAATCTGACGCAACTTTCCACCAAGTTAACAACTCAAAGAAAGAACTAATTTGGCAATTTTATATTATTTACCCAATTACACTCTTCTTTTTCATGATTAAACGCAATTTATTTTCCACAACACATAAATCGCGCGATTCGAGATAGCAACGATCCTAAATATAACTTAATCGAAATAATAGTTTAACATTTAAAGTAAATTCTTAAAATAGATTTAATTTCTGCATACATTTCCTATGTTTTTTTTTTAATTTTTGAGATTTATTGCAGTCGATTTGAACCAAGTTTTGCCTGTACTTGCAAACTCGATTATACAATTACGTTCGGTGCTTGTGCACTAAACGTACGGTTCCAAGTCGGGTTAATTCAATTTAACGTCGTTTACTTGAGTAAAACACGCCACTTTTTAATAACACTATATCATGATGTCCTTTCAATTGATGTAATCTTTAATGTAATAATATTTCTGGTTTAGGTACTTTTAAGTATCGTTTGAAATGATAATAATCTTAATTATATCATTTTATTAATTATATTTGATTGAATATTTTTATTAAATAATTAAATTAATTTTTTTTTATTTTTTTGCATTGGCTTGTTTGGCTTGAAATTCAAGAATTTCCTGTTCAAGCATTTCAATGGCTCGTAACCTTCTCTTGCACATGATGGTCTTCGCGTGCCAAACTTCCATGGCTTCTTCCTCTTCTTTATAAATTGGCGTATACCTAGCTAAAGCGTTTATTAACTCGAAAGGGCTTAAAGTTTGAACTCTTAATTGTACCATTCGTTTAATCGTCATTACCTCAGATACACTTTTAACAATAGGACCTAAAAATAGCTTATTATGAGGATTTAAATTTAAATTACCTATACGAAGTTAGCCCCAAATTTATCTCCTCCCCAATTAAATAGGATTTTGTATGCAATGCATTTTATTTATAACAAAAGGCCCTTTCAATCGATTTCGATGAACAATATCTCATTCGAAAGCTTAATCATTTTCCAATGCGAGAATTTGAAATATCTTTTGAGTTCGAAGGTACAATACCACTCAAAAGTTTTTGATTGGATTAACAAATTTTCTACAAACGTGTTTTTCTTAAAAACTATTGCTTGGTTCAAAGTTTTGTAAGAAACCAATTGATAGATAATTGATCACTTTATACGAAAATACTGCCCGTTTGACAAAATTAGCAATGGCATAGACAACATTTTTAGAAAAGGGCTTTTTATTGCAGATAATGTTTAATTTTAAAGAAATTTCGACCCGCTATATCTTGTTAAGGAGGCATTTGCGACCCGATGTATATTAAGACTATTCATCTTAATTTTTCTTGTATTATCTACTCTAGAAGTCTGTCAGCGGTTTTTTGAATCACCCTGTATATACATCCTTTGGTTTTTCTCACATAACTTTTCTAATACTGGATGAATCTTCACATAATTTTCAGACAATACATAACCAGTGAATAGAATTTTATTATACTTCAGAGGTCACTATATGGCAAAGCATAGAGGTGTTACAAATTTTGTTGAAAATCGATGCCAGGCCTAGGAATAACTTTGTATGTTAATGGTAACATTCGGGAATCGGAGCATATTACAAAAAAACTTTTAGAACAAAAGTTATTGCAAATTTTATACTTAACAATATTGCTCTCTCGTACTTTTGCTCTCAGATGAGTAGATATCGAGAAAAATGTAAAAATATGAAAATTTGATGAATTCGTTGTTTGACACTTGCTAATGATCAACATTTGGGAATCGGAGCATATTACAAAAGAACTTTTAGAACAAAAGTTATTGCAAATTTTATACTTAACAATATTGCTCTCTCGTACTTTTGCTCTCAGATGAGTAGATATCGAGAAAAATGTAAAAATATGAAAATTTGATGAATTCGTTGTTTGACACTTGCTAATGATAACATTTGGGAATCGGAGCATATTACAAAAGAACTTTTAGAACAAAAGTTGCAGCAAATTTTATTCTTAACAATATTGCTCTCTTGCACTTTTGCTCTCAGATACATAGATATCGAGATAAATACGAAAATATGAAAATTTGATGAATTCGTTGTTTTACAAGTTGTTAATGGTAACATTTGGGAATCGGAGCATATCACAAAAAAACTTTTAGAACAAAAGTTGTAGCAAATTTTATTCTTAACAATATTGCTCTCTTGTACTTTTGCTCTCAGATCCGTAAATATCGAAAAAAATTTAAAAATATGAAAATTTGATGAATTAGTTGTTTGACACTTGTTAATGATAACATTTGGGAATCGGAGCATATTACAAAAGAACTTTTAGAACAAAAGTTGTAGCAAATTTTATTCTTAACAATATTGCTCTCTTGCACTTTTGCTCCAAAATATATAGATATCGAGATAAATACGAAAATATGAAAATTTGATGAATTTGTTGTTTGACACTTGCTAATGATAACATTTGGGAATCGGAGCATATTACAAAAAAACTGTTAGAACAAAAGTTGTAGCAAATTTGATTCTTAACAATATTGCTCTCTCACAGTTTTGCTCTGAGATACATAGATATCGAGATAAATACGAAAATATGAAAATTTGATGAATTCGTTGTTTGATAATGATAATGTTCGGAAATCGGAGCAAATTACAAAAAAACCTTTGGAACGAAAGTTGTGGCAAATTTTATTGTTAACAATATTGTTCTTTTACACTTTTGCTCTCAGATGCATAAATATCGAGAAAAATTCGAATAAGTGAAAATTAGAAGAAATCGTAGTTTTATATATTGTTGAGGACTGTACAAGTTTAACGAGAAAGAATTGAGATCGGGCGTTTTATGATTTCGATAGAAGAAACTATGGTGAGTCTAATGACGTATAGCTCATGATAATCAAGTACATAATTTACGAGTTATAACCACCTAAAAAGCGTCATTTTTGTGTTATTTGCTTGTATCTTCTCAATATTATGTCGTTTTAACGGAATTCGAAAGACAATTTTGAATCGGGCCAATAATTAAGCTTTCGGATGAGATATTGTTCATCGAAATCGGTTTTAAGTTAGAAAAATTGGAGGCTAACTACACATAAGTATTTAAATTTTATTTATTTTACCCGCTGCATATCCATCCGACACCCTACTAATTCCACTGGTATCAAAATTCCACCCGATAGCACTGTATTGTCCCAAAAGATAACTCCATAAACAATACCGAGAACTATAATCAGGTCTAGGAATTACCAAATACTTTTGATAAACTTGTTGAAGTAATTTTTGATCACTCTCCCAAGGACAACTAGAAACTCCGATCAACATCACTCTATCTTCAGGCCAAAAATCTAAAAAATCACCCCAATTTATTATTTAAAAAAAAAATAATCAACTCAAATTTACTTTTAACGATTTTAATTAAATCTTTTTTGAGTCTTTTAGGATCGGTTTTATCCGTTTTAGGAATCTTTTTAACAAACGGTTTTTCCGCATCATCCATATAAATAATAGCGGGTTGTAACAAACGCGAAACCTTCGAAATTAAATGTATCAACATTATTAACCCGGATTTTCCGGGATATTTTCCCACAATATTCGCTGGGGTTAAATCAAAAAGTACGGCACCAATTTCTGTGCAAACGGCGTGTACCAACATGTCCTTACCACTACCTTTAGCGCCAGCAATTAAAATCGATTTAATTTGAGGAGTTGATTGATGGATATGATCCGATAATAAAGGAATAACGCAATATTCAGTTAAAATTTGTCGAAAATCTCCGAGGCTTATCGAGGGATTAACTCCTTTATTAAACGGAACTGGATTGTTGTAAGATCGTTCTCCTTTAAAATCGTCAAGATAAACTTTTGGATATTTTTTTATAATTCCATTAGCGACTAATTCTTCAAATAATGAAGCTGTTGTTCTATCGGGGGTTAAATCTTTGTCTTTTTTCTTTTTGGCCTTTTTCGTTCCTCGTTTACTAGCTTTTTGTTTTTTTCCTTTGATTCCTTTATCTTTATCGAATGCTTCTTGTAATAATTGAAGCTCCACCCTCATCATATCATCGACAACTTTTCTTAATTCGTTTTCCATCTCACTCATTTGTTGCTTTTCGATCATATCTTTATAAGGAATTTGTCGTGGATTTGATGATTCGTTTTTGTTCTTCCAAATCTCATCGTATTCTTCATTATGCATTGTTATTGATGGGAGGAACGTTGAAACTATTGCTTTTGAATATGTTTCGTCTTCCTCATCGTCCGATTTATCATCTTTTGATTTAGCACTTTTTGATTTTTTCGGTTTTGATTCTTTTGAAGATCCTTGAGTTGATTTACTTATTTCACTATCAGTGCCTGGAATTATAAAAAAACAATATTATTTTGATGGGATAATTTTTATTGTTTTAACCTTGGCGACTCAATAATAATCTAGATGATCCTCGATCTGATCCGGTGTATTCAGGAATTTTACCAGTTTGCGCTTTATATTCGTGCAACCAAATTCTAATTTCATCGCTAAGTTGCTCCAAAACAATCGCTCTTTGATGTTTTTCGATATAATTTCTATAATTCACAACGGCTACTTCATATTCTTTCTGTCTGGTTTTTTGTAGTGATCTTCTATATTTTTCTACTTCAATTGCTTTGGTTATTTCTTCGTTTTGTTGTTTCGGCGGTGGAATCATTCCGATTAATAACATTTCTTCAAGTTTTCTTCTTCTGGTTTGTCTGCGGGTTTGATATCCTCTCCAAACTTTTTGTATTCTCATTGCTGCAGGAAGGCTAATGCTTTGTTTAAATTCTTCTTCATTTTCTTTTCCATCGCCGGATAGAGGTTTAGATTTTTCTTTCATGTTTCGAACCTAAAATAAAATATGATCAGGTACTTATTAAAGCTAGATTAAAATCAAAATTGGCATAAACTTTAAAAAATCATTCTGAACGAATAAATATAGAATTTTTCTCGATAGTTATGCATCTGAGATAAAAATAGTAAAAGAGCAATGTTGTTCAGAATAAAGTTTGCTACAACTTTTATACAAAAACTTTTTTTCTAAAACGTTCCGAATCCCAGCAATACCAACAATATGATGTAAAACAACGATTTCATCCAAATTTCACCTTTTCAAATTTTTCTGAATATTTGTGCATCGGAGCGCAAAAGAGTAAAAGAGGAATGTTGTTCGGAATAAAGTTTGCTACAACTTTTATACAAAAACTTTTTTTCAAAAACATTAAAATTCCCAGCTATACCAACCACAAGATGTAAAACCACGATTTCATCTAAACTGAACCTTTTCGAATTTTTCTCGATATTTAAACATCTGAGAGCAAAAGTGTAAAAGTGCAATATTGGTCAGAATATAGTTTCCTGCAACTTTTATACAAAAACTGTTTTTCTAAAACGTTCCAAATCCCAGCTATACCAACCACAAGATGTAAAACCACGATTTCATCTAAATTGAACCTTTTCGAATTTTTCTCGATATTTAAACATCTGAGAGCAAAAGTGTAAAAGAGCAATATTGTTCAGAATATAGTTTCCTGCAACTTTTATACAAAAACTTTTTTTCTAACACGTTCCGAATCCCAGCTATACCAACAACAAGATGTAAAACAACGATTTCATCCAAATTTCACCTTTTCTAATTTTTCTGGATATTTATGCATCCGAGAGCAAAAGTGTAAAAGAGCAATATTGTTCAGAATAAAGTTTGCTATAACTGTTATACAAAAACTTTTTTTCTAAAACGTTTCGAATCCCAGCTATACCAACCACAAGATGTAAAACCACGATTTCATCTAAATTGAACCTTTTCGAATTTTTCTCGATATTTAAACATCTGAGAGCAAAAGTGTAAAAGAGCAATATTGTTCAGAATAAAGTTTGCTACAACTTTTATACAAAAACTTCTTTTCTAAAACGTTCCGAATCCCAGCTATACCAACAACAAGATGTAAAACCACGATTTCATCCAAATTTCACCTTTTCGAATTTTTCTGAATATTTATGCATCTGAGAGCAAAAGTGTAAAAGAGCAATATTGTTCAAAATAAAGTTTTCTACAACTTTTATATAAAAAGTTGTTTTCGAAAACGTTCCGAATCCCAGCTATACCAACAACACGATGTAAAACAACGATTTCATCCAAATTTCACCTTTTCGAATTCTTCAATTTTTCTAGTTATTTATGAAACTGAGAGCAAAAGTGTAAAAGAGCAATATTGTTCAGAATAAAGTTTCCTACAACTTTTATACTAAAACTTTTTTTCTGAAACGTTCCGAATCCCAACTATATCAACAACATGATGTAAAACAACGATTTCATCCAAATTTCACCTTTTCTAATTTTTCTGGATATTTATGCATCTGAGAGCAAAAGTGTAAAAGAGCAATATTGTTCAGAATAAAGTTTGCTACAACTTTTATACAAAAACTTTTTTTCAAAAACGTCCCAGCAATACCAACAATATGATGTAAAACAACGATTTCATCCAAATTTCACCTTTTCGAATTTTACTGAATATTTGTGCATCGGAGCGCAAAGGAGTAAAAGAGCAATGTTGTTCAAAACAAAGTTTGCTACAACTTTTATACAAAAACTTTTTTTCTAAAACGTTCCGAATCCCAGCTATACCAACAACAAGATGTAAATCCACGATTTCATCCAAATTTCATCTTTTCGAATTTTTCTCCATATTTGTGCATCTTAACGCAAAACTGTAAAAGAGCAATATTGTTCAGAATAAAGTTTCCTACAACTTTTATACAAAAACTTTTTTTCTAAAACGTTCCGAATCCCAGCAATACCAACAATATGATGTAAAACCATGATTTCATCCAAATTTCACCTTTTCCAATTTTTCTGGATATTTATGCATCTGAGAGCAAAAGTGTAAAAGAGCAATATTATTCAGAATATAGTTTCCTGCAACTTTTATACAAAAACTTTTTTTCTAACACGTTCCGAATCCCAGCTATACCAACAACAAGATGTAAAACAACGATTTCATCCAAATTTCACCTTTTCTAATTTTTCTGGATATTTATGCATCTGAGAGCAAAAGTGTAAAAGAGCAATATTGTTCAGAATATAGTTTCCTGCAACTTTTATACAAAAACTTTTTTTCTAACACGTTCCGAATCCCAGCTATACCAACAACAAGATGTAAAACAACGATTTCATCCAAATTTCACCTTTTCTAATTTTTCTGGATATTTATGCATCTGAGAGCAAAAGTGTAAAAGAGCAATATTGTTCAGAATATAGTTTCCTGCAACTTTTATACAAAAACTTTTTTTCTAACACGTTCCGAATCCCAGCTATACCAACAACAAGATGTAAAACAACGATTTCATCCAAATTTCACCTTTTCTAATTTTTCTGGATATTTATGCATCTGAGAGCAAAAGTGTAAAAGAGCAATATTGTTCAGAATAAAGTTTGCTATAACTGTTATACAAAAACTTTTTTTCTAAAACGTTTCGAATCCCAGCTATACCAACCACAAGATGTAAAATCACGATTTCATCTAAATTGAACCTTTTCGAATTTTTCTCGATATTTAAACATCTGAGAGCAAAAGTGTAAAAGAGCAATATTGTTCAGAATAAAGTTTGCTACCACTTTTATACTAAAACTTTTTTTCTAAAACGTTCCGAATCCCAGCTATACCAACAACAAGATGTAAAACCACGATTTCATGTTAATTTAATTTTTTCGCATTTTTCTCAATTGTTATGCATCTGACAGCAAAAGTGTAAAAGAGCAATATCATTAAGTGTAAAATTTGCTACAACTTTTATATTAAAACTTTTTTTCTAAAACGTTCCAAATTCCGTGCTAAACTTACTTCTTCTTATTGTACACTAAATTTTCTTCTATATTAATATCGTTTTGAGGACTCTACAAGGTTAAGAAGAAAGAATTGAGATCGGGCATTTTATGATTTTTATAGAAGAAATTATGGCGAATCGAATGACATATAGATCTTGATAATCGAATACATCGTTTACGAGTTATGACCACCAAAAGAAGATCATTTTAGCGTTATTTTCATTTATCTTCGAAATATTATGGTGTTTTAACAAAACACTAAAGAGATTTTTAAATCGGGCACTTCCATTTTCGTATTGACCAAGGATTAAGCTTTCAAATAAGATATTGTTCATCAAAATCGCTTCAGAATTTATCTTGTTATAATCAAATATATGTATAGCATACGTGTAGAATCCTATCTAATTGGGGGCTAACTTCGTTTAAGTATTCTGAACTTATTTCTAAATACAAAGAAATGATTTATAACTCAAATTAAAGCTAAAAGTTTTTTGTTTAAGCCTTTACGTAATTCATTATGCAATAAAGTCATTAAAAAGTTTAAAATCGTTTAGGCAACCGAAATTGCAACCTAAAGTTTTTTATTTACATAACCTAAATTGCGTTTAGTCGTTTGGGTTGCATACATAAATAAATTAAATTTCAAAATAATTTTAATTTAATTAAAATGTTACCTCCTTCATAAATTGCGCTCTTAATCTTCCTTGCCGAGCTCTCTCATGAGTTTGTATAATTAAAATTGCTTGTTGTTCACTCATCGGTTTCTTTTCTTCAACTTTCTCAGAAAACCCATATTTTTCTAAAACATCCTCAATAAATTTTTCTTTATATTCAATTTCTTCGCGTCTTTCGTCTGTGAAACACTTTGGAATCTTCAATTCCGACTGATAGGGTGTAACATTTAATTCAGAAATGACGTCGCCGACGTGGCTCCATTCGTTTAGATCAGCTTCAATCAAATCCCATTTGAGTTCAATGATTCTTCCTAAGGTAGCTTCCAAAAGTTTGCGGATTAAAGCCCTTTTTTGAGGTTGCACCATTTGATCAACACATTCTGATAGTTTGTTTGCAACGATTATATATTTTACGTATAATGTGGCTAATGATTTTCTTTGTTGTCTTCTATTACCTGGTGCTTGTTCGTAATTAACCGTTTGTGTTAATAATTCTTGAGCTTTTTTCCATTCTTCGTCGTACGTTACGTGAGACATGATTCAAACTAAACGCTGAAAAGGGTGATATTGATTGCTATGGGGTTAAAATAAATACCATGAATCACTTGAGGTGTACGTTTTATTTGATCGATATAGTTTTTTTTATTTTGAAATCTAACAAAGCAATAGATAACATTAATCAATATCCAACGAATAAGTTTATTTATAACGAATTTTTAAAGTTAAATTTAAATTTAATATTAAAATGATATATTAGTACATTATTTACAATTATTGATATAAATTTATTGGCTAAATTCCGTAGATGTATTCGTTAAAGTTGATAATAAAGTTGAGTATGTTATCGTTGTTGGAAATATAGTTGTATTAATTACGTTTTGAGGATGTAATGATTCGGTGGGTAATCTCATTGTACAAGGATCGAAATCTGCAGGCCCTGTTAAAGATTCTAAGCTATAAGCCATTAAAGATCCTGTTGTTAATCCAAAGTTATAAAGCAAAGTCATCATATTCCCTAAACAAAAATTAATTAAAAATAAGAACAAAAAAATGATTTAGTTTTTTACCAGTTAATTCTCGATGTCTATCATCAACTTTACTTGGTGCTTGAATCATTGGAACGCTCCCCAACACACCGTTACTCAATCCCAAAATAAGAGCGAATACAAAAGCAAAAATTTCTGCTGATAGTAAAGGATTTGCTTTGGGTATCACGCACATTAACATTAACGGGATCATGATTAATCTAGCTACGGAACATCTTACAAGACGAGATCCAGTCCAATGCCATGATGAAGCTGCAAGCATTTTTCCTAAAAGATCGGCTCCGTTAAAAATCGCCATCATCAGGATTGGCATCCAAGATCTTAAATTGCAACTCCAAATTTCAGATGCTATGCCTGGATAAAGACACAATGTGGCAAAATATACCAAACATATTGAAATCATATAGGGGTATATTGCTTTTGTTATTTCCCAACGTGCTAAAAGACCACCTAAAAAGAAGAAAATAAAAAAGTTAATTTCAGGTGTTCTTAATTTTTAATTTAACTCAGATTTCAGAGATAACACAAATTGATCTTTATATATCATTTTAAAGTAGCGATTTCAACCTGTAATTTAAGATATAAATCGTTTGTATATAATCAGAAATAAAGTCAGGGTGAATTTTAGTTTTTATCATTTTTAATTTAACTAAAATTTTAGAGTATTTGCTTTATTATACAATTATCAACATATTAATCTTTATACACCATATTATAATAGACACTTCAAGGTTTAATTTGAGATATAAATCATTTCTATATCACCAAAAATAAAGTCAGGGTGGTTCTTTGAAATTCTAGAAATTTTCCTAATTTTTCATCTAACTCTAAGTTTAAAGTGTTTGATTTTAAACCATTTCTGATATTTTTCGATTATCAATATATTATTCTTTATACATCATTCTAAAATAGACATTTCAACCTTTAATTTGAGATATAAATCATTTCTCTATCATCAAAAATCAAGCCAGGGTGTTTTTTTGAATTTCTAGAAATTTTCTAGTTGTGATTTTAGTGTTTGATTTTAAACCATTTCATATACTTTTCGACCATTAACATAGCAATTTTTATACACCATTCTAAAATAGACATTTCAAGCTTTAATTTGAGATATAAATCATTTCTATATCATAAAAAGCAAAGTCAGGATGATTTTTTGAATTTCTAGGAGTTTTCTTAATTTTTCATCTAACTCAAAATTTAGAGTGTTTGATTTTGAATCATTTCGGATATTTTTTAATTATCAACATATCAATATTTATACACCATTCTAAAATAGACATTTCAAGGTTTAATTTGAGATATAATTCATTTCTTTATCATCAAAAATAAAGTCAATATGATTTTTTGAATTTCTAGGACTTTTCTTAATTTTTAATCTAACTCCAATTTTAGAGTGTTTGATTTTGAATCATTTTGGATATTTTTTGATAATCAACATATCGATGTTTATACACCATTCTAAAATAGACATTTCAAGCTTTAATTTGAGATATAATTCATTTCTCTATCATCAAAAATAAAGTCAAAATGATTTTTTGAATTTCTAGGACTTTTCTTAATTTTTGATCTCACTCTAATTTTAGAGTCTTTGATTTTGAATCATTTCAGATATTTTTTGATAATCAACATATCGATGTTTATACACCATTCTAAAATAGACATTTCAAGCTTTAATTTGAGATATAAATCATTTCTATATCACCAAAAATAAAGCCAGAATGATTTTTTGAATTTCTAGGAGTTTTCTTAATTTTTCATCTAACTCAAATTTTAGAGTGTTTGTTTTTGAACCATTTCGGATATTTTTCGATAATCAACATATCGATCTTTATATATGATTCTAAAATAGATACTTCAAGCTTTAATTTGAGATACAATTCATCTCTCTATCATCAAAAATAAAGTCAAAATAATTTTTTGAATTTCTAAAACTTTTCTTAATTTTTGATCTAACTCTAATTTTAGAGTGTTTGATTTTGAATCATTTCGGATATTTTTTGATAATCAACACATCAATGTTTATACACCATTCTAAAATAGACATTTCAAGCTTTAATTTGAGATATAAATCATTTTTATATCACCAAAAATAAAGCCAGGATGATTTTTTGAATTTCTAGAAGTTTCCTTAATTTTTCATCTAACTCAAATATTAGAGTGTTTGTTTTTGAACCATTTCGGATATTTTTCGATAATCAACATATCGATCTTTATATATGATTCTAAAATAGATACTTCAAGCTTTAATTTGAGATATAATTCATTTCTCTATCATCAAAAATAAAGTCAAAATGATTTTTTGAATTTCTAGAACTTTTCTTCATTTTTGATCTCACTCTAATTTTAGACTGTTTGATTTTGAATCATTTCAGATATTTTTTGATAATCAACATATCGATGTTTATACACCATTCTAAAATAGACATTTCAAGCTTTAATTTGAGATATAAATCATTTCTATATCACCAAAAATAAAGTCAAAATGATTTTTTTCATTTCTAGAATTTTTCTTAATTTTTGATCTCACTTTAATTTTAGAGTCTTTGATTTTGAATCATTTCAGATATTTTTTAATAATCAACATATCGATGTTTATACACCATTCTAAAATAGACATTTCAAGCTTTAATTTGAGATATAAATCATTTCTATATCACCAAAAATAAAGCCAGAATGATTTTTTTCATTTCTAGAATTTTTCTTAATTTTTGATCTCACTTTAATTTTAGAGTCTTTGATTTTGAATCATTTCAGATATTTTTTAATAATCAACATATCGATGTTTATACACCATTCTAAAATAGACGTTTCAAGCTTTAATTTGAGATATAAATCATTTCTATATCACCAAAAATAAAGCCAGAATGATTTTTTTAATTTCTAGGAGTTTTCTTAATTTTTCATCTAACTCAAATTTTAGAGTGTTTGTTTTTGAACCATTTCGGATATTTTTCGATAATCAACATATCGATCTTTATATATGATTCTAAAATAGATACTTCAAGCTTTAATTTGAGATATAATTCATTTCTCTATCATCAAAAATAAAGTCAAAATGATTTTTTGAATTTCTAGGACTTTTCTTAATTTTTGATCTCACTCTAATTTTAGAGTCTTTGATTTTGAATCATTTCAGATATTTTTTGATAATCAACATATCGATGTTTATACACCATTCTAAAATAGACATTTCAAGCTTTAATTTGAGATATAAATCATTTTAATATCATCACAAATAAAGTCAGGATGATTTTTTGAATTTCTTCATACTTTCTTCGTTCTTTAAAATTAACACAAATACGACAGCATTTGATTTTAAATCGTTTCGGAGATTTTTTAATTATCAACATATCTTTATAATCTATATATATATTTTTTAAACATTTTAAATCAAAAACCTCACATTTTTGTGATAATAAAATCATAAAAATCTTACGTTTTATTCCGGTAAATCCCCCACCAGCACTAACACTACTTCTCCCTCGAATTACAACATCTTCAACTTTATAAGTTGGAGCTGGAACGGACGGTTCGTAAGCTGGATTAGCAAAGCTCAAAGTGGTACTTGTCGGTGGGCTATTTTGTATTTTTAAAACTCCATATTGAGCATCAGTAGTTTCAATCTAAAATGTAAAAAATAAGAAAAATGGATAAAAAATGAAGTTTTCGCAAACAAAGTTTTTGTACCAGCCCAGCGTCTTCTGTCGGCTCTAAAGTAATTCTAGTCTTCGCTCTCTCGCACAATGTGATATAAAATTGGATAAAATCGCTCCTCCTCACCAAATGGTACATTGCAAAACACGTCGCCACGGACGTAATCGACACGCTAAAGAAGTAAATTGTACTTCCCCGGATCTCTGATATAACAAATTTCGTTAAAACTCGAACGGAAGATGTAAAAACACCAGAAGCACCTAAAATTTCAATTTTTTTAATTGTAATAATCAAGAAATTTAAAAATAAATCTTACTCTCTCCAACCATAACGGCTTGAGTATACCTTGATGGTAACATACTTGTATACCCATAAAAACTTGATTGTTGCACTAAAATAGATAAATATTTCAAAAATAATTACTAAAACATTTTTATTTTGACTTGTACCTGTACAACCAATTGCAACGACAGCAACAGCGGCTAAATTGATGGTGTATGATGTGGAAGTGCCGAAAGCCTCCCACCAAACCTCGCACGTTACCACAAAAGTTAATGTTATAAATGACATGACGTAGCCTATGGAAAGGATAATGTTAATACGAAAAAGAAATGGAGGTGATAAAAAGAGTACCAACCGAAATTAATGCGAGTGTTGAGGCTGCATATTTCCACCAGCAAATTATTTGCTACGACAGTTAAGAAAGCGACAACTATGTAGACTAGAGACATATCGAAAACAACTGGGGTTCCAGGGTAGCGAATTTTAAAATAATCCATTGCCATAATAAAACTAAAAATATAAATTTAATTAAAATATTGTCCTGTTTTCACAGTTTTTCAATAAAGATTGTTACCTATTATATGGAAACAAAAATCCAGCTCCTCCCAATACAAAAGATAAATAAACCATATTGTACGTATCGGTTGGCGGCGAAAGATTCATGCTGGTGAAACCGTTTTTGACGTGAAAATCGTTTTCGCGTTTACATTTTCCCAATTTCGAGTAACCGGCCGCGTCATTACCGTTCTGTTCCATTGTAATTTTTGCACTGGTTACAAATGGATTCTTTTTGTTATTAACACATCACATCGTACGTCGTATATATGTTCTGATCATAAAGTCTTAAAAATAATATCTTGCGCATGTGGACATCGGGTGCCCGACCATGGTCTATATTTTATTGATTTTGAATTCGCGCCTGCGGCCGATCAGTTTTCTAATAACATTTTACTCGTACGGTGGCAGCACTTTAATTTAATTTACTTGAGCGTATTACTTGACACTTTGATTTTATCATCATCCAATATTACATTAGATACTTATAGAAAGCGCGCTACAAACTTTAAGTACAGATCTTTATGGCCAAGGATTAAGAAATGCCAACAAAAAAATTTTAGTATGAAAATTTTACTTACAAAATAATTTTCTTCCTCCCAATGACATTGCTCTACATTTTAGCCAAAATTACGACACTACTTTTATGTACTCTTTCAGTGTCATAAAATTGCTTTAACTGCTTCTGCTACAAACTTTTCGGTTGCATAATTAGCTCAAAGGAGGGTTTTAAAAATTGGAAGCACCTCGTCGAAAATTTTAAAAGAGCATATAATTTCCAGATATCACCTTTAGGTTTGATGAAAAGGTGAACGATAACTTAGTATAAGGTGATCCGAGAACAGTGTAAAAGCACATAATTGAAACATAATAGCCAGCAGACTTAGAGAAGTCCACCTACTGTTTGTAGATCTTACCAAAACATACTACAGCTCAATCCCAAAAAATGTTCTTTCCACCAACCTGTCCAGTGACTAAAGGCCTTAGATAATGCTGCTGCTTGTCCCAAACATTCTTTAAAATTTCTTAGAACGCAGCACTGAAGAGATGTTGAAGTGTAGATCATGCCAAGGAAGAGAAATACAGCTCACAGATGCATAACACTGTATACACTTCATTTTGCTGATGACCAAAAGAGGATCTAGAATGTATGTCAAAAAAACTTTTCGACGACTATGAAAAAAGTGGCCCTCCACTAAGTTTGAAAAAGATTAAATATATGTGACCACACAATAATAGAGGATACTCAACGAAAACAGTTAATCTAGTACGGACACGTTATGAGAATGCCAGAAAAACGAATTCTACAACTTACTTTCCAATGGATACCGACAGAAAGAAAGAATCGAGGAAAATCAAAGGTTAGCAGAATAAACAGCGGCATTCAAGGAGCAATGTCAGAGTAAAATCTGACATCAAGAAACTGGAGAAATCACTTTCAGTTCTTGAGAAATACATTTTTTAAATGATCGATATTTTCGAATTTGCAATTTTCGCCGATTAAGTTTTAAAAATTCGTATAAAATCCAGTTCTTGGAATATGAGTATGAAAATTTCCTAAAGTGTTAATAAAAGTGTCCTCTTTCCAATGAACCAACCCATTTTGAAAAATAGCTTTTAGTTTTTGAGAAAACAATATTTGAAGTATTAATAAAATTTTCGATGTTTCAATTTTCATCGATAACTTGCAAAATTTGCTATAAAATTAATTTCTTGAAGGATCTTTGTGAAAATATCACCAATTATTAATTAAAGTATCCTCTTTTTAATGCAAAACGTCGTTTTGAAAAATCATTTTTAGTTCTTAAGAAATAAATTTTTTAAATAATCGACAATCTTTTCGAATTTTGCAATTTTCGCCGATTAAGTTTTAAAAAATCGTATAAAATCCAGTTCTTGGAATATGTGTATGAAAATTTCCCAAAGTGTTAATAAAAGTGTCTTCTTTCCAATGAACCAACCCGTTTTGAAAAATAGCTTTTAGTTTTTGAGAAAACAATATTTGATGTTTTGATAAAATGTTCGATGTTGCAATTTTCATCGATAACTTTCAAAATTCGCTATAAAATTAATTTCTTGAAGGATCTTTGTGAAAATATCACCAATTATTAATTAAAGTATCCTCTTTTTAATGCAAAACGTCGTTTTGAAAAATCATTTTTAGTTCTTAAGAAATAAATTTTTTAAATAATCGACAATCTTTTCGAATTTTGCAATTTTCGCCGATTAAGTTTTAAAAAATCGTATAAAATCCAGTTCTTGGAATATGTGTATGAAAATTTCCCAAAGTGTTAATAAAAGTGTCTTCTTTCCAATGAACCAACCCGTTTTGAAAAATAGCTTTTAGTTTTTGAGAAAACAATATTTGATGTTTTGATAAAATGTTCGATGTTGCAATTTTCATCGATAACTTGCAAAATTTGCTATAAAATTAATTTCTTGAAGGATCTTTGTGAAAATATCACCAATTATTAATTAAAGTATCCTCTTTTTAATGCAAAAAGCTGTTTTGAAAAATCGCTTTTAGTTCTTGAGAAATACATTTTTGAAATAATCGACAATTTTTTCGAATTCTGCAATTTTCGCCGATTAAGTTTTAAAAATTTGTATAAAATCCATTTCTTGAAATATGAGTATGAAAATTTCCCAAAGTGTTAATAAGAGTGTCCTCTTTCCAATGAACCAACACGTTTTGAAAAATAACTTTTAGTTTTTGAGAAAATAATATTTCAAGTTTTGATAAAATTTTCGATGTTGCAATTTTCATCGATAACTTGTAAAATTCGCTATAAAATTAATTTCTTGAAGGATCCTTCTGCAAATATCACTAATTATTAATTAAAGTATCCTCTTTTTAATGCAAAAAGCTGTCCGGCTTTTCGCAAAATCACTATCCGTTCCATCATTAGTCAAAACAAATCACCGAAGCATCGCATATTTCTGAGAGGCGAAGCAATTTCTTTAAAATAATTTAAAATTGCTCCTATTAAGAAATAGAACGTCCGTGGAGTGTTCAAATAAGAAGAGGTTAAAGTTTATAAGCTAAGTTTCTGCTTGATCAGGTGAAGTTGTAGATCTTTTGATCAATTAAGCCAAGATTGCCTGCGGCCGAAGTTGAGTGACTAATATTATATCAACCTAAAGCTGGTCATCATATTGCAATAATGTTATTTTATCAATCTGCATCTGCCTAGGAATGAAAGAATGCATCAGAAATACGGCTCTGAGAGACATTTCAACCCTTGCTAAATCCCTTGGGTGGTTGTTGCGAGCACACTGAGTGTAGCTATGATACAAACCCAAATCAATAATCTAACCATCTACAAATTCATGGTATAGTGGATGAAATCAGAATAGCGTTTGACACTAGAAGTACTACAAGTTTGGTATGTCGATGCATTATCACCGATTTTTCGCTTTCAAAGGGGTAAAAAATATTGAAACAGTTGTTCAATCTATAAATGCAACAACTCAGTTCGAAAGTTTAGGGGCGTTATTCTTGCTAATACTAATACCTTGCTGTATGTTTTCCAATCACTGAACGTGCAAAGGAAAAGATTTATTAGACGATTTTATGATTTGGTACTTATTAACAATTATGATGTTAACTTATGCAGGGAGTATCAAGTTATAGGTCCCATTCTTTGTCCTTCTTAAGATATGATACGATAAGCTTAAGGGTTCGTAAGTTTGAGTACTGCTGGATGAAGAATTATACTCATCAGGCTTTGCTTATGTATATAGCTTTAATTTTGAATTCCTTGACGACTGAAACACGTCTCATTCGTCCACATAATTTCATTAATGATTTCATAAATATTTTGATCAGTTTACCACTCACAAAACTCAACCCTTGGAGGATAATAATCTGCCAGTAATAATTCTTGAATTTCTGTGAGATAGAATAGATACAACAAATTATGATGTAAAATTGAGATGTATTTGCTGACATTCACAGAAGGATTGTTTTCAATACGTTCCAAAATTTCATCTTCATGAGTGAAATCTTTTTGACGACCGCGATCTTCCAGTTTGTGTTGAACTATGTACATTAATAAACGTTTCTACATTTGGCAACAGGCGGCTAGGAAATGGCACAGATTATTGTAGTCTTGCAGTATTAGCGCAGAAATCGTATTATTGACCATACAGCAGCACCATATCAGTGTATTCAATGTTGGTATACAACATTATTTAAGAGACTAAATTCTGAAAAATTCAATAATTTTTAAATTGACGTTTATGTGTCAAATTAAATTTGGGATATTGTGTTATACGCATTTTTACTCTGTTTTTATTTTCTATAATACCTCCCAAATTGTTGTAAAGAAAAGTTGTAAAAATTTTATTATATAATATGCTATGATATTCAAATGCTGAGACACCTACAGTATCTTATTTTTATAATACCTGTCAAGCTCAAATTTTTAAAGTTTTTGTTGGTGTTACCTAGGGTCCCTAGAAAATTATTATTTTATTATTTACAATTATTAAAGTACAAATTTATTGTAAAAACCTGCTACAAACTGATAAAAGTATACAATTAAGTATCAAATTACAATTGTTTAAGTTATAATTATAAAATCGAAAACTAAATTATGACTTTTTGATTATAAAAAAGTTTAAACGTCAATGTGACAGAAGTTTAATCTTACCAACTGTTACCAACTTACATCAATTTGACAGATATTGTAGAAGTTAGTTACAAAATTATGTCTTTTTATCCTATTTCCTATTCAAAATTTTGTGTGTATCGAGTAAAATAGATTTTTTCTACAAATTCGAAATTTCGAAAGGGGTTACGCCTTTCTTGGACATTTGTATACATTTTATTCTGATACATCTTTACTTACAAAATAATTTTGTTCTTGGCAATGTTACAGCAAATTTTTACCTTAAATGAACTTGATCTTTCTAAAGATATAAAAACCTTGTTTGATGTGCACTTATCTCGGCTAATTATCTGGTTTGAGATATAAAAAGTAAGTAGAGCAAAAATAACGGTGAAAAAGAAGTGAGGGTGGCCTTACCCAGTTTAATTTCATAAAATGAGAAAATGTGGAGTCTCATACTTCTCATTGCTTAATAATTTGATGTTAATAAAGTAATATGTATTGAGGTAGGGTTATAAAACATTAAATTAAAAAAAAAACTTTATTCAACTTAATTTTCTTACAGTTTATTAAAAGACTAGATATTATAAATATTTATAGTACTTACTGTTATTTAATAGTCGATCACAACAACATAATAATTTTTTATAAAAAAATAAGCAATATCGTGCGCATGTGGTCGTAGTTTGGCTTATTGATTTTGAATTCGCGCCTGCGACCAGTTTAGTTTCATCGTCGGCAATTGGTGGCAGCACGGTGCTCGTTCGGTGCTCGGATCCAGTCGTCCTCTGACATCTGTTGATGTTGTTATCAATCCGATTGAAAATGCCTTTAAATCCTTCAAAAATGTTGACGGGGAATCTCCGCGGGGCTCCGTTTCGAATCAATTCCGACCAGTCGAGGTAAAAGACGGCCGCCGTCGTACTTGGACGATAATCGCGCGCGCGTGTGTGTGATCATGTCGATGAAAAATTTAATCAACAACTATAATTCCTCGCCGTTACCAGTTCCCCTGTCGTGGTGGTGATTTTAGGGGATATGGGCGCGAAACCGAGTAGTGCTAACGGGACCCAAAGCCCACGGACTCGGGCCTTCTCAACGAGTAGCAGCTCGGAGGTGGTGGCGGCGGCCCCGGCGGGCTTCCGTCTACTCCGCTCGTTGCCGGGGATGGACGTTTCGAACGATAGGCAACGGGCCAGGTCCCTTTCGAGCGTTCCTGACCTTCACGGGAGTCGCGAAGCGATTGCCATACCAGCTACGGGGGCCTCTTTTGATGCTTCGAATGGTGCAAGCCCCGAAACAGATAGTAGTTCCACCGAAGAGGCTGAAGCTAATTTAAACTCGAACGCCGCCGGTATTGCCCTTGGAAGGGTTTATGCTGCACATTCGTTACCCTCACACATTTGGTCCTTAAATGGTAAGTTTATTTAATTATTCACTTTTAAATAAATCTTTAAACCTTAACAAACGGCAGACTGCAAACCGCAAGCGACACTTTAGTGTCAAGATACATGTATCTCCATGACAACCAATAGTGTCGCCTGCGGTTTACGGTTGCGGTTTGTAGTCTAATATCTCGAATTAGAGTAGTAGAAAATAAAAATATTTTACTTCTATTTAGATGATGAAAATGTTTATTTACTTGTGTTTTCGGTGCTTGTAGTGCTACACAAGTAACACAAGTAAATAAACATTTTCATCATCTAAATAGAAGTAAAATATTTTTATTTTCTACCACTCTAATTAAAATACATGATGAACACGGAGAAAACCATAGCATATTTAATATCTCGAAATTGTACCTTTATTCTGCATGTTATTTATTAATAAGTTGTTTAAATAAAATCAATTCGATTCGTGCTGTTTTAAATTTTAAAAATCTTAGGATTTATTCAAAAGGAAGTTGGCAAGGTAAAACATCTTACATTATTAACTAAAGAATGTATATTTAAACGTATACATGATTCTTAGTGAAATCCCAGTTCGATACATATTCAATCAAGAGGTTTTTTATTCATAACAATACATTATGTAAAATTTTAGCAATCGCGATTTAGGTGAAGGTTGCCCATTATTATTTCGCATTTTCATATCTTTGACCTATACCCTTTCAAAACAGCTTTAAGAATGTCTTTTATTACATTTTTGTTGGTCATCTAAGTATTTTTCTTAACCCAAAGAAAAAATTAATAGGGTTGGTTTATGTAACATTGAGGTAGTTTTATAAATTTTTGTTTTCATTTTGATTAGATTTAATCAAACACACTTAATATCCTTAAGCTAAATACACAAAGATAAAATATAAATCATAGGAAATTGATAATATCAAGCCCCCAAGCGATACTGTTTGCGTAACGAACACTTAAAACTCATTCCGCATTCGATATTGATAAGCTTGTTATATTTTGTGTCATAAAAAACTAATAATGCGTGAAATAATGAAATTGGAATCTTCCTTCTTTTATTAAAACAATATTATTATTTTTAAATTGCGTAATTAAAAGAAATTCGCACAACACTCATTTAGAAATGAATTTAAATTTAAAATATTAAATTATAGAAATTATTAAACCCTGGGGAAAGAACAGAACGAATTAGATTATGCAACAACATTCGTATTTGAAGGATGAATATACATATACATGACAACATGGAAAAAATGGTGGTGCAATATCAAACGGAATTAAAGGAAATGATATTATACTCAAAGCGGAAACGTTGCACCTGTAAAGGTATTTCAAAACATTACTTGAAAAAACTTGCAGAAAAAAGTAGGATGGAGAAGAAAGAAAGAATATTTAGGGAGAAGATTTAAGAAGAAACTATCTAAGTTCCGTATTGGTAAGAAGATTCTTATCTTAATAATTTAATAATTTCTACAATGAAAGCTCTCCATGCGAACAGCTCTAATAAGCGGACAAAAATCTTGGAACCAACCCCAAATCTATATTTTCATGTATAAATTTCTTTCCCATAAGCGCACGTTATAATAAACGGACGCTGATACGATTTTTCTTTGTATAACGGGCAAATATTTCGCATAGGTAACCAGACGAACACATCGAAGTAATCTATAGTAGATATTTACCGACATGTATCGGAGATTGCTCGCTTTACGAGTTCCGTTATTAGTTTTGTTCATTTGCATGTAACATACGTTGAAATGGCTTCAAAGGTGATAAAAAAAGAGATGCTCATGTTAACGGAGAAAATGGAAATGGAGAGTTTATTAGGTAAGGAAAAATTGCATCAGTTCATAACTTTGTTCGTTGGGACTGCACTAAGCAGTTTAGTGCAGATGTTGTGTGTTCGTTGAGGATAGTGTAGTTTAGTGCACTTGCACTCATACTCTTTGTTGGGCCATGCGCAGTACAATTTCGTGCAACCGGTGCAAGTTAATGCAGATTTTGTTGAACCTGCTTTCGGTTAAGTTCAACAGCTGCAGTGTAACTCAGTGTAACAGGAATATTTGGAAAAAATCAAATTAAAATCAATTATTTACGAATATCACCATGTCCAAATTATTTTATTTTTACCTCAGTGCAATAATTTCTTATGGTTGTCTTCACGTGCTTGACAACGCTATAAGATTATTATTATCAATTAATTCTACATCACTGTCGGATGAATCGCTACTAAAAAAAACATTCAGCGATTTCATCCTTTTCCCCGACTATTTTGCCGACAATCTCCTGTTCCTCCATTTCAAATACTATTATACACTTTCTTGATAAAAACCTGTTCGTTGCGACCACGCTTTACACACTTCTGTAACTTGCACTCAGTTGACATAACCTTGCCTTACTTACACTAAATTGCACTATGATGTCATACTAGTGCCATATCGTGCAGAGTAGGGAAGACCCAACGAACAAAGCTCATGATATCGCTAAAAAATTTGAAATCGGGAAACACAAGCGGCTAAAATAGTCAAAGATAAAAAAATATTCGAATGAAACGACAGTCTGGTGTCAGTGTAAAAACGAAGGAAAACTTTTTGAGTAGTGTGGGTTCAAAATTTGATAAATTCTGTTTCGAATGGTTTGTGAAAACTAGAAATCAAAATATTGACCTATCAGGACCATTTGTAAAGAAAAAAGCAAAGGAAATTGCAGAAAAATTGGAAGTGAGTATTTTTAAAGCTTCTGATGAGTGGTTATAAAAGTGGCGTTATGTTAAAAAGTATTGCTTTCAAAGATTTATTTGGCTATCTGGAAATCAAACAAGAAAGCATGGATGACACGGCTTCTAAATTATCAAAATCTATTGAAATATTAGAAAGCTTGTTGACAATTAGAAATTGTTTTAAAAAAGTTGGATTTCCGATGGATCAAGGAAGTTCAACTGACAGTGACTACGACGTTGAAGATAATTTGCCACTCGCGAGGCTAGCTAATTTGCTTAAATGTACTGGGGATAGATAAGGTAAAAACAGCAGAAAAATATTTAACTGTTGACCAATACGTCGATACAGAAGATAAGGACTTGGAATTTTTGGTGAAGACAGAAAATATTGAAATTGAAACAGAATTTAATTTCCAAACTAAAATCATTCGTTATTCGAGAATCCTAAACAAACCTAAACTCCTAAAAATGACTTTATCCTCATCTGTGACATTCCGGTTATGCCTAACCTTACAATAACTCTGAATGCTGTCACTCAAGTTGAGGTTGGTGATACAATTAACTCATTAAGGAATGGTCCTGCAAGGAATTGCAGGATATCAAAAACTACCGTCCCATAAGCATCCTGCCGGTGTTCTCGAAAGTATATGAAAACATTATGTATAATAGGATTGCAGAATACCTGGAGTTCGCAATCCTAACGTGGTAAATTTTTTATAACATATATCACTGCCCCTTTATTGCGCTTTGCCAATCATTTTAATTGTATGGAGTCTAAAATAAGTAAAAATATTTATTTACTGCGTAGACTTGTTGCTGGTGTTTCGCTAAGTGTGGCGAAAAACGCTTACTATGCATTTGTTCACTCTTTACTTAGCTATTCAATTCTTGCATGGGATGCTGATCCTGGGAGTGAATAAATGTTTAAAATACAACGTAGGGCTGTGCGTGTTCTGACAGGTATAGGTTACAGGGATGATTGCCGCCCTGCTTTTGTCCGACTGTCTATTCTCACTGTGCCATCGCTATATATATTGCGTTGTATTATGTACGTTATGGAGAACCACAATTTAGTCAGAGAACATTCTAATATTCATTCTCACAATACACGAGGGAGAGAAAATCTTTGCCCAGACTTTTTTAGACTATCGATAACCCAGAGCGGTCCCTTGTATATACGCCAAAAACTGTTTAATAGATTACCTCTACAGTTACGTGAGTTACCTTTCGCTGGAATTAAGGCACGGTTAAAAATATTCCTGTTAAAAAATGCGGTTTATTCCACACAAGAATTTTTAAATTGTAATGTTGACGATATGTACATTTTGAGTATTTCTGTAGTTTTAATTACTATATATAATATGCAATATGTGTTTTGACAGGTGTAAGAGTGCATGCACTTTTTTGCATAAATAAAGAAATATTCTTAAATATTAATGATAATACATCATATGTCTATGTACTTTAATTTGAATAGTCTTTTCTCATAAGTCTGATAAGCAGACAAAAGTAATGGAACTGTCACTGTCCACTTATTAGACCTTTCACTGTATTATTTTAATAGAGTTAACTATCACAGATACGCTGATAACCTGAGTGTGATACACTGAAATTGCAACCTTGAAAGCAATTTTCTATCTCTATGTCCTTCAAATTTTGGTGGAATAGCGCACTCTGCTTATCATTTACTATACGAAGATTTTTCGGGTTGGCAAGATGGTTAAGTAAAAAATGCAATTTGGTACTCATATTGCAAGCAAGCGTTTTCAAGCACTCCAACAGTTGCTGGATTTCGGTGTAATTCTGTGTTTGTGTATTTCCAAGAAAATCTTTAATGTTTTACAATGCAAATTTCTGACATTGTTCTGATCATCTTTAATAAACTGCAACTCAAAAATACCAATCGTTATCTTTTGAAGTGACAAGTTAGGAAATGCCTAAATTAGACACTTGAATTGGTAAAGCTGTTACGAATTGCTTATTATATAATTATTTTTTAAGTTGCTATTTTATGAATGTTTATGAGGTAAACTTTGAACGAATGTTGTAGTTAACCTTTCGATAATAATTATAGTTACTAGACGCTTCGTGCTTCATAGCACTTATTTCCAGCGAACTCGCCTAACTTAAACGTTCTTTTAACTACCAGTTTTGTTTGATAGCGTTTAAACGAAGTGTACTGTTTTTAATATTTTGCAATGACTTTAATGTTTCGATATCAATACGTTCAAGGCTAAATTTTACAACTAATAATAATCATAAAATAATTTATTCGTTGAAGATCAGATATCTAATACTTTAGCCGTGTGTTGGTTGCATGTTGACGTTTCTATTTACGAAATCGTTTCTGATCTTAATGCACAAAATTTAATTGAAATAAATGAAAAATGATTGAAATTAGAATGACGTTAAGAATTATATAATTTCAAGTTTTTAGTGGATAAATGTTTTAAACGAGTGAAAGATAAATGTTATCCTCCCGTGACATCTAATAAAATAACAGAGTCTAGCGCTGAAATACAATTACAGCAACTTTTAGATATTACAGCATAACGTCTATGTACAACACAAAAGGATGTAATAAGATCGTATCAAAACACCCTCACATTGTTGTGTAAATGGGAATGTGATGAAAGTTTAAATTAATCCAGATATACAAAACTTGAATTCCTGTATTTCTGATGACTCCTTATTTAATAACATTTCATTAGTGCTATTACGTTTAATAGAAGTAGAACGGTATAATTATAATATAGGATATAATTGGAAAAATTCAAACTAATATTCAAACTTATTCAAAAACTAATAAGGGAGGATATTAACGAACTAAAAGAACAAATTAATGAGTTAACTCCTATAAATATAAGGATAAGAAGATGTTGAAACAAAAATTCATTTTAAATTTTTTTAACGTGTGTTTATCTTGCTGTCATCAATTTCATCGTCCCAGGTGAGATATATGCAGCGTAATACTTAAAAAAATGAATAATGGCAAAGCACTTTTTAAGATATTGCGTATAAAAGATCTTTACGCGGATTGTAACCCTTACGGAATAAACCATCCGTTGTATGGAATTTCTTCTTCACCTGTTCTTAAAAGCTGGATATTAAAAAATGGCAAGCCAGAAGTATTGAAGAGAAGGAAATGTTATATCTAGGAAAAAGCATATTTTGGAAAGGTTATACAGGGTGATTCATAAGTAATGGGCCAAATTGTAAATGTACGTTCAGGAGGCCAAAATAATAATATTTTCATTAACAATAATGGGTCTTAGTCTGCTCCTTACTGAGATACAGGATGTTAAAGCGAAAAAAATAAAATAGATTTTTGTTAATAGATCAGCTACTTTTCTACATAATGACTCATAGTTGACTTATAGTTTTTGTAAGGGTAAACAATAATGTGTGAGAGGATTTGAGTTAACTCGTAGATGTCGCCACATGCGCCATATGAATTATGAAACGTCAATGAGCTTTTACGTTTAATGAATAGTTTAAAACATTTTATTGTTAAGTAAACTGATTCATTCTTGTCCTAACATAAATCAAAATGCCGAGACATAATCACTTTTCAAACGAAGAAATGAGAGACATGTTATGCGTTTACGCACAAGAACGTTTTTCTGGGCAAGCAGCATCCAGAAAATATCGTGAAATGTACCCTTACAGAAGGCAGCCAAACCGGAAGATATTTCAAAATATTTATAATCGATTGGGTGAAACAGGTTCATTTCGTCCAAAATATCATACAGGACGTCCTAAGATTATCACTCCGCAGCAAGAAGATGAAATTTTGGTAAGAATTGCGCAAAATTCTGAAATAAGCACTCGTCGATTGTCTGCAGCAACTGGAATAAGCCAACCATCCGTGACTAGAATTTTACACAAGGAAAATTTATATCCCTATCATTTTATACCTGTGCAAAATTTACTTCCAACAGATTATCGAATCAGAGTTCAATTTTGTCAGTGGCTAAAAGGAAAATTGAATAATAATCCAACATTCCTAAATAACATTCTTTTCACGGATGAAGCAACCTTTACCAGACGCGGAGTTTTTAATTGGCGAAATAGTCATGCCTGGGAAACCGAAAACCCTCGTTTAAAAAAAGATAGACATTTCCAGCACGAGTTTAAAATAAATGTGTGGTGCGGTGTAATAGGCAATACATTACTGGGCCCAGTTGAATTACCTCCTAATTTAAATGGAGAGTCATATTTAATTTTTTTAAATAATGACTTAGTCGACCTCTTGGGAGATCTTCCATTACAACTAAGAAGAAATATGTGGTTCATGCAAGACGGTGCTCCTCCACATTTTTCACGTGCTGTGCGCGAACATCTGAATGAAACATTCCCTCACCGTTGGATTGGACGTGGTAGTGAATTTCAGTGGCCACCTCGCAGTCCCGATTTTAATCCACTTGATTTTTATGTGTGGGGTTACATGAAATCAATGGTCTATGCTGAACCTACTATAAATACACGAGACGAGTTATAAATCTATTTTATTTTTTTCTCTTTAACATCCTGTATCTCAGTAAGGAGCAGACTAAGACCCATTATTGTTAATGAAAATATTATTATTTTGGCCTCCTGAACGTACATTTACAATTTGGCCCATTACTTATGAATCACCCTGTATATACACCATGGTGTTAAATAATAAATTTTATATAGATCATAAGTATTATTTTATTAATACAAATAGGGACATTGAAAATGGAGTGGCGCCTGGACATATCAAAATAACCACAGAGCTGCTGAAAAAGTGGATAAGGTTGGTACAGGAATGCTTGCCGAAATATTTTATAAATCGTGAGGAGAAGAAACATAACTAACAGATTTGGAAAAAAAGGGTGTATTCTGTCATTACATAAAAGAGGAGACAGTAAAGATTTGTCCAATAAAGAACATTTGAGCAATAAAGATTGCTCAAATTATAGAGGAATAATCTTATTAATTACTGTATTAAATCTTTACGAATATATACTAGACAAACGATTAAATACTGTTATAGAACCAACATTTTCCGAATCACAAAGTGGATTCAGAAAAAGTAGAGGTACTCAGAATCATGTATTGTACTACAAGGCAATCTACAGAAAAAATGGCAACATAAGGCAGAAAGAAGTACATGGTTTTGGACCTCGAAATAGCTTTTGATAGAATACCTATAAAGGAAGTATGGCAGAACCTGCAATGTAGAGGAGTTATAAATAAATTAGTAAGGATGATTGAAAGTGTATGTAGGACAAGTACAAAAAACTCTATGATAAGTAATAACAGAAAATTACCAATAGGACATAATATGACACCGAAACTTGATGATGGAGTGGTGCTGGCGGGCAACAAGCGAAATCACAATACAACCTAATAGTATGGAATATTGAATAATCAGAAGTCAAAACTCAGATTAGATTAAGTGCAGTACTTTAAATACCTGGGAACAATGCTGAAAGATAACCCATGAAACGAAAAAGAAATTAATGAATAGGTGGTTAAAGCATTAAAATTATACTTCACTCTGAATAAGAACTTTATCAACAGATTTAGAGAAAAGTAAGATTCAGGCTATAGAGATGAAGTTGAGCCATGTCTTAGGAGTAACCAGAATCGATAAAATGAAGAACAGGGAATGTACTCTTTATAAGCTCTCAGACATTATCAATTGGATTCATGTCGGGGCTATTATTCGGCCAAACCAACTGAAGAATATTTTGCTCTCGTAGATACGTTTGAACTAAGCGAGCATTTGTGACAGGGAGCTCCATCTTGCATAAATATCCCGATTTGGGAATCATTCTCTGACCTGCGGCATCAAATAGTTTGCTAAAATTTCAAATGTGCTCTCATCGCTGAACCAAACCTGTAGAAACACAAGAACATGGTGAACATTTCAGAAATTGAAGTAAAATAAGAAACTGGAGAAGTAGGAACTCTTTGGGACTCCTTTAAGAGGGATTCTTATTGATATATACGAGTGATTCAAAATCCCAATTACTATTAAGATTGTAAAATATTTCTAGCATTTCTTGGTTGAGCTTTGGTTATTACAAGATTTTGTATTTTTGATTCTTCAACATCTTGTTTCAAGCTTTCTTCAAGATAAGGTTCCTAAACGTCATCATTTTTATCTCCACATCAACATCAATATGTTTATTAAACAAGAATTTTTAAAATCCAGCTTTCTTGAAACAGAAATGATTTTCTCAAACAAGTTTTCCTGGCAAAGTGCATAGCTTGCAATAAATTTATTTCCCGTGGAATTTCTTCTTCTATGCATTTCAATATTTGCTTTACATCGAACTTACCAGAAAAAGGTTCAGAATTTTGAATAATTCGTTGATCAGGAATTTATAAAAGTTGTTAACTTGGGAATGTTGTTATGATTTCAGCAATTATCAAACATAACAACCATTCTAGAAAGATAGTAGAAGTCATCTAGGAGTTTTTCTTACTCTTATAATTTCGCGCGAGTGTCTTAATATTTTTGAAACATCTTTATTTCTTTGATTTTCCAATCAAAAGCAATGATAGTTTTTCTGATATGTCCAACTTTACGTGTTCTTTATTGTGTTTACTGCCAAAATGATAGTTATGGTTGAAGCAAGGGCTGACAAAAGATTTTTGTTAATACATTTAACCGTAAATATGAGGTTTTTATATTAAAAGAATATTGTGTGCAAATTGGGTTGTCTATATATCAGTTTTTCTATTTAATTAAATTGTATGTCATGTTTAAAGAAAAAATTTTATAACATTTTAAAAAAGCGTTGTACCGTTACACAACTTACTCAGCAGAATGTGTATAACAAAGGCAGCGATTTACATGAAAATGTATAATGTGGAGGATCGAGATTCAAATCAGAATACGCTGTGTCACCGAAGTGCACATTTTAATCCCAAGAGTAAAGTTTCATCTCCGGGATTACAAAGGACTTTAATGTTGCGCAACACATTAAAACTTACGTATTAAATTAAAGTTTTTGCAATGCTTTGAAAAAGTACCCTTTTAATTATAAAAGTAATACTTATAAAAATGAATTATAAATTATTGAAGCTAGTAACACCTGAGTTTATTGTGATTTTGAGTAATTTCGTTCTCCGCGAAACCAATCGATTTTTCCATTCAATTCCAATGTACCGTTTAAATTTACGTTTGCGGTAATGAATTTAATCGTTCCACAGAATTAATCGACTGTATATTCGGTTGCATATAAACCGAAAATTACGGACTGCGCCCCGGTTATTTATGCGGACAGCTTTATGAATTATCGCCATTGGTCGGCCATGGTGTGCTTCTTCGTCTTCGTTAAATTGCGCGTACGAAAACCGAGATCCGATTGCTTCGATTAACAGACAAAGCGGATCTGGAAATATTTACTACAGAATATGACTATATTTACCGACTAAGCGCTTATCGAGGCGATAAATCGGTATGGCAATAAAATATGACTGTTACCCGGTTATTTTATGACGACGAGACTGGAACGGCCATAAAACATGTACACTTTGCATTTTATTTTGTGTAACGTGTGCCTAAATTGGTTTTGATGTGGTTTAAATCAACAAATATAACCTATAAATAGTTGTAAAATGTTAAAAGTTGTATATTTTTTATTGAAGTAAAATTAGAACTAACACTAGATCTAGAACTAGTAACATTTAGTTTTAATTGTTATTCAGCGCTAGATTGTTGTATATTTTTATTGAACTAGAACTAACACTAGACCTAGAACTAGAAACATTCAAGTTTTGCCGTTTTAAGAGACGTACGGCTAAACCTGTATGTTTCTAGCTTTCGGTTTAGTGTTAGTTCTAGTTTTAATAGTTATTCAATCCCTGGAATTCGGCCCTAAACTTTTCTTCTATTCAAATGCCAGCCTTTACAAATCCACTCCTATATGAAGGATCAATTTTGTCTCATATTCATAGTTTTGAGTTCCTTGATAGATAGAGGAAAGAAAGAAATTTCAGAAATCGGCCAAAGCCACCCAATGTATATAGGAAAGGGGAGGGTATGCTTCCGCATACAGCATCTAGGCCTCAACGGGCCCCTTCCATCCTCCTGCACTCTCTCCGGCTACATCAACCAGCCTTAGGAATTTCCGAAAGCTGAGATACAGTTCAGAGGTGTGTTGTTGATACCATCTGTGCTCGGCCATTCCTCTCCGAAGTCTCTCATTCTGAGGTCTTGCAGAGTGGGGCTCTCTTCACAAAAGCGACAGAGGGAACTAACAGCAAGCTTAAGGTTATAAAGATGCTTGTTTACCTTACAGTGACCCGTGACGAGTCCCGTTACAGTTATGGGTTATGGCAGCCCTTAACCCTGTCCCACCAGTTCCTAACCTTTTTGTGGGTAAAATCTTTAATTGTCTCAATCTGAGTTGATAAGGACGGAGCAATTATCGGTTCAGGCGAATAGGGCGCTCGCTTGGCAGCCCTTTTGGCAAGCCTATCATCGTACTTGTTACCTGAACAAGTCGAGTGTCCTTTTATCCATTGAAGTATAACACAGTTATGCACTGCGGCCTTCTCCAATGTCAGATGACAAGCCATAACAAGTCCTGGGGTAATTGTTATTCTACTCAGAGCTAAAGTAGCTTGTCTACTCTCAGTGTAAATTGTGAAAGTCTGTCCTTCCAAGTTGGATCTGACAATAACGTCAACGGCAAGTTGTATGGCGATTAGAGGTTCAGATACGTTGAGTCGGAGATCGTACTAGAAGACTCCGGCTCCAGCTCCTTCCCGTCTACTTGAACCATCAGTGTAGATTTTAAGGTTGTTTTTTACCTCTACTTCTGTGAAACTTGGGTGGGTGAGATATTTCTTCGTAAAAATGTGTTGTAGGGGTGTGAAGTCCGTTTTACATTCCAGAATTGGTGAGTAATTCACCATTTCATTCCAGAGAATGGCATTTTTACTATCTCTCTCACCCATTAGAATTCCTGCTGCCCGCAGTCGAATCATGATTCTGTTCAAACACGCAAATCTCTGTACTTTATTAAGTGCAGCAGTGGATGTAGACTTTTTGGAGGTTTTTGACCACCATATGTAAGCATAGGTCGGATTACAGCCGTATAAATCCAGAAAGCATTTTTAGGTGACAAACCCCATGTCTTACCTATAGCCCTCCGGCATTGACCGAATGCAACGTACGCTTTTTTTACTCTATTATCCTAGGTGAGCTCTCCATGTCATTTTATTGTCCAGTATGATACCCAGATATTTGACTTCTTTTGACAAAACCAATGGAGTATTAGCAACGGGTGGCATTCTGAGCTTGCCAAACTTCCTCATCCGTGTGAAAAGAATCAACTTTCACAAGCAACCCAAGTTTACGATATTAGTTCTAGTGAAAAATAGAACTAACACTAGTGTGAAATAGTAGTTGCTTACCTATGCGTGACGTCACGAACGGGACTTCGAGTTGTGCAGAATGAATTTGTGTGCATTAAAATTATTTATTTAAACAGTTTAAAGTGCAAAT